CTCTCTCTCTCTCTCTCTCTCCCTATATATATATATATATATACACACACAAGAATCAAGCAGGGAGAAAAGTAGATGCCCTTTATGTAGATGTGATCTCGAACTAAATGAAACTTATCTTACTTTGATTCAGAAGCATCAATTGTGGTGGTTTGGTGGAGGATTTTTGATTTCATCCCTTTGGGTATGATTCTTTTGTATGACTCTGTTCGAGTTCCTAATTTCAGTAGAAAGTCTTTGTAGTTTAAAACACCTCTCATGTTTGGATCATATAAGAGCCACAACCTAAAATGTATTTATATAATTTATATGTTAAGGGCATTTATATACTGTTATTATTGTTTTTATTTTACAGGTTCATTGTAATACTGTTTGAAGAGTGTAATTTAAATAAGTTTTAAGAAAATCACCTGTCAAATTGTTCGTCTGTTAAATGGAAGCACAGATTTTCTAGAACAGCACGGAATTCGTGTTTCTGGATCATCTCGTCTCGATTTGGATCGTATAACCACATACAGCGTATGAATGTCTTAAGATTCTTACTTATCTAAAACAATACTTTAAAAAATCAAAACAATTATCTGGAATTCGCTTCTGACGTTTGAAAAAACATATTTTAAAAAAATGAAGACGTAATGATTTTTTAACGGAGTAAACACAAGATGTTTTGTGTTACAAAAAATAAAAATTTATTAAATGCATTATGTGATCAAAGCACAAAGAAATTAAGTAATATTTATTTATTCCGCAAAATGATCACGTTTATTAGATATGTTTAAAATAACTGTATGAAAATGAAAATCAAACACAAAGTAAGAAATTCCGGATGAAATTACGGTTAAAAGTATGGAGTGGCAGGGAGTTTTCATATTTTGCCTTAAAATTTTACGAAACAAAAAATATGATAAATTGTAATTTTTACTGTAATATTTATAGGAATATCCCTGAATCTTTGTACTAAATAAATATTGCTGCTAGAATTGCATAATAAAATTTTATGGATGCTGCTATCAGGATACCAATGCTATTTTCCGTAAATTTACTCGGAATATTTTCAGTGCGTAGATTGTTTAGGAAAAGCAGCATTAAGTCTAGTAAGTTTGAGAAATGTAGCATTAAGAATAGTAAGTTCGAAAAAAGTAGTATTAAGAAGGCATATTAAGTTTGAAAAAAATGATATTAAACTAAATAAGTTTGTGAAAAGCATCATTGAGTCTGGTAAGTTTGAGAGAAGTAGCATTAAGAATAGTAAGTTTCAGAAAGTAGGATTCTGCATAATAAGTTGGAGAAAAGAACTATTAAGCATAATAGGTTTGAGAAAAGTAGCATTAAGCATAGTGTGTTTGAAGTAAGACTTTTTAGGCATGGTAAGTTAGAAAAATACAGTATTAAGCTTAGCTAATTTGAGAAAAATAGCATTAAGAATAATGTTTGAGTAAGGTATGAATAAGAAGAGTCCGTTTGAGAAAAGTCAATAGCATTTAGCATAATAAGTTTGAGAAACTTTCGTTAAGCATACAAATTTTGAGAAACTTCTCTGGCGTAGTAAGATAGTAATTTAATAGCATTTAATATATGTAGTACGTATGAGAAAGCTAATTTTAAACATAGCATGGTTGAGAAAGCTATCTTTAAACATGCTGCGTATTAGAAATTTGCAATAAGCAAAGTAAATTTCTAATGCACAACATGTTTAAAGAAGTAAGTTTTGGGGAAACTAGAATTAAAATTAGCAAATTGGGGAAAACTGTCCTTAAATATATTGAGTTTGTTAAACCAGCTTGAAAGTTAAATGCGAAGCAGTTTATAAAACATTTTCATTATTTTTTTACTTACAGACAAGGCAAAAAGAAGAAAGAGTTAATATATTTCTACTAAACCATATTAATACACAATAATCCATATTCTTTAGGGATGGTGTTTAATAAAAAAAAGTGAATTGTAATTAATGCTGGTATTATAAACGACAATGAGTTACTATAAAGGAAACTTCTTGAATATGAAAAAAATGCAATTGAAGCAATAAAGTGTGAGGTTTAGGCTATTTAAATAATATCGCAATATTATTTTAACAAAAAGTTTTAAATTGAAAAATTTATTTCAAATACCTTTCTTTTCATTCTAATTTCCAATTCTTCAGTACTCTCGTCTAAAAGGTTCATCCTACCAAATAAAACATTAACTATAAATAAAAATATTTCAAACTAGAAAAGTGCATTTTTATTTCAATTTTAAGGGATAATTAAGAAAATTTTTCATGTATAATGTATAAAATCTCATTTGGTCTTTTGTTGTAGTCCTTTACGCTCGATCATTTAAGAGTTCTAGCCCCATAACTCATTATACTTCAAACTCATTTTTTTAATACTCTGTTTTTCAAGTGTATTGACAGAGAACACAGGCTGCAATTAATTCATTTAACGTAAAAAGAAAATTAGTTATTGTCGATTCTCTATGTTTCCAGGCCGGTCTTTTACCAAGCGGGAATAAGTATAATATAGACGTTTCGATGTACATTACCGGATTTGTTTGAAAGTTTAATCAGTTTTTGTTCATACTGTACCTTAAAAATAAATTAATCAAAAAACTTTTATCAAGTCTTACATCCCTTTGAATATTTTTTATTTTTAATTAAAAAAATCTTTATTGATAGGTGAGGCTATTCGGACGATGATGAGTTGATTTTGTGAATTTTCATATTATTTAAATTTACTTTAGCCTAGAGATCTATAACAATGCACGCCCACTGCCAATGGGTCTATTTTAAATTTCTTCTGCTTTTCAGATGTTTATCGTTTGATGGTAAAGACTATCGACACGCTTCTCTTAAATTGAAATCCATTGAGCAATTCAGCTTGTTTTCGAACGGAATTGTCAGAACAATTGGAGCGGACTCCGTATGGGGAAAATCACTTAATAATAGCATTAAAGTAATCTTGCTTTGAATAAAATTATCGACTTACTCTTTCTTTCTATTCCTATTAAAATCATCTCTTTCGTTTCTTCGCCCCGTTAGATTTTGGAGAAAAGATCTATAGGTTATACATCCATTCCCATCTAGTTTTTCCTGAAATGCAAGAAAATGATTAAGAATGTTCTAATAAAATTAAATAAAGAAACCTATCTATTAATGTCCACACTTTACTAAGTACACATTTTTTTAATACAAAATTGGTGATTGTTTTTTTTTGGGCCCTTTTTCCAAACTGCTATCTCAACGTCCAAACTGCAACCGGCAAAGTCTATATGGTTAAAAGATAAACTTTTAAGCATATAGACGTTGCCGGACGCTCTGAGGAAACTAAAGGGCCTTAACAAACCTTTTTTTTTTATCAGTTAGCAATTTTTACTTTGAATAATAGAAACACGATTAAGTCACCTTTTGACATGTTGTTGTTTCCAATCCTTCAATACAGCCTTCGCTGTATCAAATCCAGGAGTTCAAACGCTCCGGCAAAGTTACAATCTAAAATTGGTCGCAAGAGAAAGTCCTCCTACTAAAATTCCAGATAATCAAGGCTTTATTCGGAGGAAGCAGGTTTCAATTTGCATTTGCTACAGATTTCACACCTTTTGACATAATATAATTTAAGGCAACATCCCCTTGCTGTTGCCTAACCTCTGTTAGTTGTAACATAAAAATCGGGTGACATTATTAGTAATCGGATACCAGCAAGTGACGTCATCGTAGGTAAATCGCGGAATTCGTCGAGTTAGAAGCCAATCAGGTTCAACACACACGCGTGACGTCGCTTATAGGTATTCAGTTAAATCCGATTTAAATCATATGCTTAGACGTAATCACTCTAATTCTTCTCGAGTTGAAAGTACACGATTGATATTAGCTCTCATGATGAGAGAGCTTTTGCTCTTCGGGTTACGGTTTCTCGTTAACGCTAAAGCAAACCAAACTCTAGTGCGCATGCGTGAAAATTAACTTAAAAATTAACATATGTCTTTAAATAACAGCTTTTGCATTGCGTTTGGCAAAACCTTAACCTTTACGCTATTTCTCAAAAGCCGTACATACGAGTATTAATGTGAGTGTTGATTTGATAGAGTTTCCAAAAGCTTTTTTTCCTCATGATACCTTTAGAGTATGGTATAAAAACTATTTATTCAATTAAATTTAATTATCAGTTATGTATTTTTTTTAAATGCGTGGTAATAAGAACTATAACTTTGAAAACTAGAATTACCGGTATATCGTTACCATATTAGCGAACGGTAATTTGAGCAGATTTTTTTCTTCTCCGTATGCATGCTTTCATGCTATATATATTTTTAAAATTAGGTGAATAAAAAGTAACATAGCAAAAAGTTTCTGCTAAATAAACTACGTTAAATTGAAGTTACTGTAATTTGAAAGCCTCATAAAGTAACAGAATTACTTCTAAATTCTTTTTAGTATAAATATTAGCGTTATTTACATTAGTGTATAATTTATGCCATGGATATCCCAAATATCAAAAATATATCATTTCCTCTGTCAGTTGCTTTCAGTTACAGAATGCTTGTTATATAAACAGAGTACAAAAATAATTTAGTGAAGTAAAAAAAAAGTACTTTTTAAATCTTTCTATTTGAGGAAGGTAGAACTAAATATATCAAAACCCTTTTGATTTCTGGTGGAAAGGTATTGAAATGTGGCACAGAGGAAAACATTCTGGTAAAATTACCGTACTGTTGAGTAATGACGTTTCCGGTAAATAAAATTGTCTTCTTCTTCCTTATCCCCAAAATTAGCAGGGCTAAACATTGTCCATGAAATTCATGACCCGGAGGAAGTCGGTCACCAAAAGTGGGTTATTTAGTATGTCCGTCTTGTCCAGTCCAAGACAGTTCAGGATATGTTGGGGAGAAGCCTGCATGTTGTGGCACCTGGGTCAGTTTGGGAAGATTTTATTACTTCTCTCGAAGGAAAGAGACTTAAGGTGGCCGCTGGTAAGTCTGGTAAGCGCCGTCTGGTCCTTGCGGTTGCACCGAATGTTGAGTGCACCTCCTGGACGGGTGCTCTGGTACCAGTGATGTTAAGGGGATACGAGCCAGGAAACAATTCGGACAAAATTGTAATTCTGGTTAATAAAACCAAAATATATGGTATTTAAGCTATTTATTTGGTAATTTGTCCTTTCATATAATTTCTAGTATTTCATATAATTCTTTTCATGTATTTTCGGGTTCTAAAAATTGTAGTTCTTTTTACACACATTTAGCAAAAAATACAAATCCCAGCAAATTTAACTGAATAAATAGTTTTTAATGGCATACTCTAAAGCATGGTAAAAATAAGCAAATTTTATCACATATTATAACCATATTTTATTGTTAATTTTTCAAAAAACATTGTCACAGCTGTTCGAAAAAAATTACCGAGCTTTTCGGTGCTTGTTCCCATAAAGCCAGAAACACGGTAGATTTTACCATATTCTGATAGTTTTTACCATACTTTTGTTTCAGAGCGTCTCACTTGTGAGGTTTAGGCTATTTAAATAATATCGCAATATTATTTTAACAAAAAGTTTTAAATTGAAAAATTTANGACCTACATAATTTTATAAGTTTGTTAAAAATAAAAAGTAAATATTCAAAATTCATGAAATCTCAAAGTGAACCCTTTCCTTATTTAAAAATGACAAATAGTTACGCATCAGACATTATTCAGTCTTTTTTGTAAATAAGACATTATTAAAAAACATGAAAGTATGAAAAGTGAGCAAGATATGAAAGTCAGTGTTGGCTTCTTTATTCAACAAACACTAACAAAATTTTTATATTGTGTGTTGCAAAAAATGCTGTTGTTTTTGTTTTTTGATTACTGCTATGTGAGAATCGATTATAAATCGTGACTTATACTAAAGTTCTGTCACGAAATTTTACATATGTGGTGAAAAGCGAAAAATATACATTAAAAGAAAAATCAAATAGGATAATATTCCTTATAATTATAAATGAAACATAGCATTAGAAAAAACAAAAGTCATTCTGCTTAATTACTTAATATACTCGTTCACATTTCAAACAAAAATTTTTCGACGGAAAAAAGATATCTTTTTGTTTTATTTTTTAGAGCATCCTAAAATTTATCTGCCCTCGATAAGATACCTCTAATACTTTCATTTCATAAGATATACATTTTATTGCTTTAGATTACTTTATTTACTCGATTTAAAGAAACTTAGTCGCATTTTCAAAAGATAATAAATTTTGTACAAAATCCCAAATCCTGAATCCTGTTGTTAATCTTAAACTTCTTTATCTTGTGATAAAATTTCAAAGAATATTTTTGAAAATTTAATGTAGAGTTTGAAAGCTTCAAAAAGTTTATGTTTATAAAAGTAAAATGCTCATAACAAACTAATATCTTAAAAATATTAAAGAATAACCTGTGACGTTAGTTCTTTAAATTCCATCAAAGTTAATGGATAGCAAAATATATTTAGAACGTTGTGTAAATTAGCTGGTAGAACTTTTCCAGTGTTTTCCTTGTCAAATGTACGTAGGCCCTACAAAAATAAAACTTGCTTAAGTTCAATATGATTTCAAATATTCAAAAATTCGATTATATAAATTTTGCTCTATATGCATATTTTAATGAAAGTTTATGGGTTATAACAATTAATGTTTTAACTTAAAAATAAAAATTAAAATAATGTACGCATTATACTTACATCAAACAAATAGTTGATTAAAATTAAAGATCATTTTTATAGAAACTAATTGCTTGGAATGGGCTATTACAGACTTTGTCTATTACTTTTAGATTTTGGGCTTCTGCAGCATTTCCTACTTAAAAATAAAGCGAATACTATTTAATTTGAATATTTTCGTGTGGAATGTTAACAATTAATTGATGGGTAAATCCAATTAATGTTTCAGCTACAAAATAAAAATTCAATTTCAAAATAAAGCATTGCGATTTTATGAAACAGAAAGCTGTTTTAAGTAAAAAATAACTTTATTAGAACATCGCGGATTATTGCTACATTTTATATTTAAAAATAATGCGAATATTATTTAATTTATATGATTTTGAGTGGAATATTTTTTCCCGCTTTCGTTGTTATTATTAATTAATTTCTGAAAATAATATTTAAGGTGATTTTTCTCTTATTCTAAGGTGTTAGAATTTTCTCTCTAAAATCATGGTAAAATAACCGACAGCAGTCTGACCATCCACTTAATCTAAAGTTTACGGTTAAGTAGATTTTTCACCTTTACGGTAGTGAAACCGCTTAAAACAAGTATGGTTAAAAAAAGTCATGAATAAAAAACTACACGGTTTTTTAACCATTTCCAGCTAGCATGGTCTTAAAATCGGGAGAAGAAACAGGTTTATGGTGCTGCCATCTATGAGTGAATGAAGGTACCGTAATTTAATGGTAAGGGACACAGATAGGGAAGTGCAGGGCACTTGAAACTCTTCATGTGTTGAAGAGAGTGTCGTGGTGTCAACGCTGGGGCTTGAACCTCCGCTCTGTCGGTCATGAGAATGACAGATTCGCCCAATCATCTATGATATGTACTCATCAGCAGGGAACTAAGCAGCTTCATTAGAGGGGTCTAGTTGATGCGATAAGAATCTGGTTGTTTAACCGTATTATGTGAAAGCAGTTAATAAGCGATTTTTCATACAGTTAACAGTTTGAATATCATCATATTTATGATTCTTTGACTGTTACGTTTGAAGGCAGTAAAATAACAATTAACTAAATTGTTATTTAACAGTTCTTTCCGATATATTTTTAACAGCGTACTATAAATGTTTAGGGAAAAAGAAATGATGCTGATTACTGCATGAATTTTTATTTTTAAGTCGTCATATTTAATCATAAACTCTTAACAAAAGTGCTGGCTAGTGCTAGTCAGAAAATACTGATCGTTATTACTTTCCTGAATCTTGTGGTTATTGTAAATAGCAGAAAATAGCATATTTTATTTGGAAAATACATAACTATTACAAATAAACTGATATAAGAAAAAATGAATGTTTGTAAGGAATTTGTTTTTTCAGTTAACTTTTTTCAAATTTTTTTTTTTCTGAAAGTATTAAATGGGCAATTCCACGAAATTGTCAACTTTTAAGTGAAATTGTTTTTTTTTTTGAATTGCATATTTTAATTTTAAAAATATGTTCAAAAATAGCCAAAGTCTACATATTGCCGTTTCATTTTTGATAATTTTAAATTTTTTGAATCTGGCAGCATTCTAAAGTAATCACATGGCTGACAAGTGAATTGTTCACATTTGTGCTGAAATTGTTTTCTTGAAAAATACATATAAAATAAAAGAAATGCATCTTTCTTTTGCAATATTTTAATAAAAATATGCATGTAGTACAAAATTTAAACATTTAAGACATTATCTTTTTAAGTTTAATATATAAAATAAAAGTAACTTCTTTTACGTTATTCCGTCACATGTCTTAATAACGCATAAATTTCCTGAGAACAAAGAAAAGACGTGACATTGGCAAGTTAGATATAAAACCTCTTCAGAGACAACCTAATTTTCAAACTGTTGAAATTTTTACTAATTCTTACATAAATATTAATCCTGTTTAGCTGTTACATTCTGTTAATCATTTACATATTAATAAAACATTTTTTAAATGAAGACTTTCTTCTACTAAACTTTTTGTCATTCCGTCACGGTCATTCCGTCACAGCAAATAGATGTTAATAACTGCTAGCCAACCTGAGGTTAATTTTCCAAATTCACATTTTACATTGCTTACACATTATACTAAAAGTATAAAATAGTTCAGAAAAATAATAGCTGCAAAATTCGCAGAAACTACCAGTTCTAAGCGGCATGCCAAAAGCTTGGTTGCCAAAATGTCATTCCGTCACGCAAATAAAAAGTTCGTAAAATTAAAAGTAAAAAAGATAGAAAATCCTGTTTTTTTAGTTTATGAAGCGCATTATGCCAATAATAATGATATGCATAAAAATTTTTTTTATTTGAAATTAGATACATAGAAACTTCAATTAATTGTTATTTTGCAAGTCAAAATGTCATTCCGTCACACATGGAATTGCCCAAATTTTATATTTTAACAAAGGGAAAATAATATAAATGATTTTTGTTATGAGTGTTAGTTTAAATGTTTTGTTTTTACTTTTTGTTTTTGTGTTTTTTGGCACTTTTTCGCTTTCATAAATTTGACTTTAGAGTATAATTAATCAAAAAGAAATCACCCAAATTTGTTAATAAGCTCAAAAAACAATTAACTTTAAACATTTATATTATATCTGATAAAAATTTACGTGAAAATACTAATTATTACTAAAGAAACGCATAAAAGAATTTATAAATAACAGTCTTACGTGCAATACATCATTTAGTCTTTTATTCAGCTTTTCTGCCACAAATTCTTTCACATCGTTCTCATTATAACTTTTTTCAGAAAAACTTGTGAATGAAGATACAGAAGAAAGGTCTATAAAAAAATTTATAAACTAATTTAAATAAACATTTTATGCGTTTTAATAAGTCTATAAAGTTACACAGAATTGAGGCTTTCTCTTTACATGGTAAAATGAGTGAATTTTTTGCTATTTTGCCAACCGTAATATAATACAAAGGAAAGCATACCACAACAGTCCCATTTGGGCCACGGAGGGTCATGGAGGTTAAGGCAATTTCATGAACAACGTCATAATGGTAGCAATGTGGTCAGTATTGTATTCTGACAGCCTTAACTTTCCAAGCTGGTACCTATTTTACATTATTTTATGAACGCCGTTGAACAGCCGACCCGATTCTGAGTTCACAACTGACAATGTTCATCTGTAGTCTTGTAATTCTAAACCCAACTCAGAAAACAAGGGAACTCCTGGATCAAGCATTGGAGAAACTAGCCACTGGGAATATTCTACCACAGGGGATATTTTACGTCTGCACTGTGGCTGGTGCTAGCCGGGTGCAGAATTCATATCGACCAGCCTTTGCTGGGATTCAAACCAGGGTCACCACATTATGAGGCACGCACTTTATCCCCTGAGAAACCATAACTGGATGGTATCTGTTTTATTTAATAACCGTGGTTTGCGCAATTGAGTTTAAGACTATTAATGTTCAACTCTGTAGCCTTGTAATTTCAAACCCAATCCAGAAGGCAAGGGAAATCCTGGATCCAGTACTGGGAGAAATTTGTCTACGTGGGGGACTTTTCGATTAGCGTTACATAGAGTTGGATTGCTCACCGCATTTGCGTTACATGAAGAGGAAAACTACGAAGATTACCCATGGTTAACCTGACGTCAAGGGGACACAAACCCATGATTCGTCTACAACTGAGGATATTTTAAGCTAGCACAGTTGTCGGGGAGAGCCGAGTGCTGAATTCGTATTGAACCCGGGTCATCTTATTGGGAGGCGAGTATTTTATCCCCTGAGTCATCAAATCTCGACTAGTATTCATTAAACTGAAGCTGGGTAGACTTAAATCGGCTTCTGGGGAACGAACATTACTTATTCATCATAACAGTTCAGTGCCTTAACCAATAAGCCAAAGCGGGATGTAATGTAATATAGCACAATATAATTACCACGTGTTTTATTCGAGGTGACCAACCAACTTTAACGTGACACTAAAATTTATAAATGGAATTAATAGTTATATTAACTTTACTATAATAATATTAATAACAACACTATATACACTCTATGCATGTTTATGGTTGAATTATAGGTACTTACCTAAACTTGTAGTTGAACTTAGCGACCTTTTTGAATTCTCGGATTGGTTTTTCATAGTTTCTGCAATTGCAAGATATATGTATGTACTTTCTCAATTAATGAATTTACTCATTAAATATTCTCCCTGTTAAGTATCGATTATTATAATCACTATTTAATAATTATAACCATATTTAGTCAACATTTGCCAATTATCTATTTAATAGTTGTTATTATGGCTATAATTAACTAACAATAGTTATTATATTCAAGCATCATCTAATTACTATCGTATTTAAAACTCACTTAATAATTATGTGTGTCACTATTTAATTATTATTTAATAATTACCGTTTTTAATCACTATTTATTAACTGTAATCCTATTTCATAACAATTCTTCTTCTTTATAATCCTTTTTTTTTAAATCACCATCCCATTCAATAATCATTTAATAATTTTTATCATCATTAATAAACACATTAAAATTTGTTAATTTAATTTAATTAATTCATTATTGCTTTGAGTTCTAACACAATTTAATTACATAATATTATTATGTTTAGTGACTATTTAGTGAAATATTGTTTCTTCCTAGTGTGTTAGTTTTGTTTAGGTAATTCTATTAAAAAAGAACGAAAAACAAATAATTTTCTAATAACTATTAATTCTTCTTATTAAGTCTTAATCTATTTAAGTTTCTTTTCTGTAGCACAATGGCATTTACAGAAGCGAAATTTCAGTGTCTTTGCAACAACGTCAATAGCAAACATTTCCTCGTGACACATTCCATTCGTTTAAATGTTTTTAAGCTGTAGAGAAACAAGCAAAAAGTGAAATTAAAATTGCCGAGCTTATGACTAAACTATTTCCATATTTTCCTAACTGCAGCCTTTGTACCACTGAAATTGGAAATAAGTATGTGCCAGTGCAGAGGCCACTGTATAAAACTTCCTAACTCTTCTTGGACTGGAGTGTACAATAATGGTGATTGGAGCATCTTTTAAGAAATCCGGAGGCCCTTTGTTCGAATCCTGCCGACACCCAATGTTTGTGCCTCTTACATAATTTTCATTCCATATCAGTTTTGAAACTATGTATATTGTCCTAACACGAGCTGTTTAAAATTTGAATATATTTTTCAAATTTGATTATATGTGCTTTGAAGCTATTTTAACTTATTTTTGATCAATTTTGAGAAACCCTTATTTTTACAGTGTATATAAATTTTTTAGTGCGTGCTATGTTTTTAGATATACAGATCAAATTCGCTATTTTCTACACATTAAAAAATACGGGATTAAATTATATTTTTACAGTGCACATAACTTTTTTAGTGTGTGATATGTTTTTGGATATACAGATCTAAAAACTAAACTCAGTGGCGCGACAGCCCATAGAGGGCCAAGGCCTACTGTTCCCGTCTCAGTTTTCTTGACCTAGGGCTCTGGGGTGCAAGAGCAGATGTTCCGGTTCAGGTGGTCAGCCGAACACGAAACACCCAGTGTTTAGTTCCCAAGCATGCTTGGTACTCATGTATCGACCCACTGATGGGATGAAAGGCTGAGTGAACTGCAACCTTTGTACCATATCTGCAAACTTTGCGCGAGGATCGAACTCAGGATCAGTGGCACGGGTACGCGAAGCGCTTCCACTCAGCCATCGGGCGTCGGATATACAGATCAAATTCGCTATTTTCTACACATTAAAAAAATACGGGATCAAGTTACATTTTAAAAGTGCACATAAATTTTTTAATGCGCGATATGTTTTTGGATATTCAAATCAAGTCTGCTATTTTCTACTCAATAAAAAATTCGGGAATGAATTACATTCAAAAGCACTGGCACCCTGAATGCAACATAGGTAAAATCCATTTTTGCCTTAAAATTGTATACCGTAATTTTTACAGTAATATTTATTTAATTACAGCGATTCAGAGATTTTATAGTAAGTACAAGTATAAAAATTACGGTATACTAGATTTTTTGTACTGCAAAATTTTATGGTAAGAATGGATATTACGATAAAATGTACACCGGCACTCCGTGTGCTGGTACTTCTCGTTATTTGATCCGGAAATTTTTACAGTACAACTAAGTAATTATTAACGTATGAAACAAATTTTGAAGTAATTTGGTTCTCAAAAATTAACAAGTTTAAATCAAAAACTGAGTAAACAGTATAACTTTTAATAAAAATCGTTCTTTTTTTACTATTATTTTCGAAAAATAATCAAATCATTTTTCGATAAAATATGGTCAAAAATACCAGAATATGGTAAAATTTACTGTGTTTCTGGCTCTAGGGGATCATCCAATAGCTCCATGGGAACATGAATAGCTGACTCTTACAGTAGCGCTTTGGTAATGATTTTGTGGTAAAATGGAAAATAAATATGGCTTTATAATATGCTATAAGATTTGGAGAATGATGTAAACTTTGGTATTTTTATCTTGATACGTTAGAGCATGGCATAAAAGCCATTTATATAGTCAAATTTACATTCCAGTCTCTCATTTAAAGTTTTCAGTTTTCTAAATGTATGGTAATAAAATAGAACAATAATTTAAGAACCAGAATTTCCGGTGAACTGTATGAAAAATGAACGAAAACATCACCAAATGAATGGTCTAAATGCAGTATATTTCTCTGTGTTATTTCTCCTTCTATGATTTAGCAATAAAGTTATTTACTCTAACATAGTTACATTTGAATATGAACTCTAGATATTATTTGATATTTTTTTGTTTTTGTGTAATGTATTGGCAAAGAGATTTCTATTACAATTGAATTTTAGAATTGTGAACAATCAGAAAAAGCTCAATTCTAGTGTCGGCTTCGAAATTTCAGAAGCTTTATGGAATAGTCGTACAAAAAGAGAAAAAAAAACTTTCATTTAGTTGAATTCTAATAAATATTCTAAAAAATTTGGAGAGAATATATATTCATGATTTGATTAAAATAGCTTATAACATGAAAAATGGTAGTTTTTAAGTAAATTTAAGAAGTAGTTTGGATAAAAATTAGGAGTTTTTATTAATTTTGGTGAAGAAATATTTTATTTTAATTCTTTTTCTTTTTCACACCTTTTCTTACCGTTTTTCTCAGAGGAAGAGAAATGAATTATTTTAAGATTTCTTGCCTAGTCTATAATGCTATGAAGCGAAACGTCTTAGTAAGGAACTTTCACGCTTGGAAACACTAAAGAACAAGATTCTGAGACTCCAATGACAGAAATAAACAAATAAAAGAGTATTGTTTTTTAGTTATTCGAATATAACCAACTCAGTTCTTATATTTTGTTCTTAAAAATGAATCGCTGCGTTTTATTTGAAATGCCCTTTTGACAGTTTGATAGTCAATTTTCAACTAAAAGATATTATTTTAGGAAAATAAGGATTGAAAAAGGAAAAATATCAATTGTTTGAAATAATTAATTGTTTAAAAAAAATTAATTGTTTTAAAAATGGAACTATGAATTTCTTATACTAAATATTATATTCAACACACTTTAATTTTGCTTAAAATAAGATATTAAATTGAACATAATGAGTAACAACATTTAATTTAATTGCACTTTATAGTTTTGAACCATCGGGCCTATTAACTACTTATACTAAATGCTGTGTGTAATAAACACTGAATTTACGAAAATTCAATGTACATATTCTAAACAACTGCACAACTATATTCAATTCCAAACAACTTTGTTCAATTAAATTGTGCTGTATAATTCTGAACCATTGGATAAAAGTTGAGTTATTTACTTCTTTAAAAAAAGGAGAAAAAAAAACGACTAGAAAAGTTATTTTTGGAAGAAAATTGATTTCTTTTTTTCCTTTTTAAATTATACTAATTTTTTTTAAATTCTAAAGTTGACTAAATAATCTGACATGTTTTTTCTAAAAGTATACTACATGAAGAAAAAAATTCTGGTAAGATAACCGTACTATGTGGTAAAAACCTTTCTGGTAAAAAAACAAACTAAAACTCTTGTAATAAAATTAAAAAATACGGTATTTAAACCATTCATGTGGTAACTCTTTTCGTTTATATGGTAACGGTTTACCGGAAATTAATGTTTTCAAATTTATAGTTCCTATTGCCACCAATTAGTAAAAATACTGAACTGAAAAGCAAATTTAACCGAATAAATGTTTTTTTTTACCATGCCCACAAGGCATCATGATAAGCTAACGAAATTTTACCGCATTCACCAAATTTTAAAGCATATTAAGAAACAATATTTTATTGTTAATTTTACCAAAATCATTGCCAAAACGCTTCCGTAAAAACTAGAGCTTCTTCGTGCTTCCATAACGTCGGAAACACGGTAAATTTTAACATACTCTGTTAGTTTTGACCATAATTTTTTTTCACAGTGTGCGATAAATTCTGAATTCACGGAAACTAAACAAATTCATGTTCTCAATAACAACATTTATATAAAATATACTAAATAATTTCGAACCATTGGAAGAAAGTTGATTTTGTTTATTTCTGAAAGAAAATAACAACTTAAGAAAGAGAAATTGATCTATTTGTTTCCTATTCTAAATCCTACATATAACAAACACTGAATTCTCTAACATTGAGTATGTAAATATTTTTACCTTAAGTAATTTAATTAAATTAAATTGTGCAATTTAAATTAGAATTATCTTACTTTCTTGTTCTAGCAGCATCTTGTTCAGGAATTTAGACACCGCGAATAATCCAAATCTATAACTTAAAATACATCATTATTACTTAGAGCTGAATGAAATTCGATGAGAGAAATAACCTTAGTTGTCTGTGGTATATATATAAATCCCATTTAGTTCCCACGGGGTTGGAGACGGGTACTAAAATACCATGAACACGAGAGAATCGTGGACAACGTGTTTCCAGTGGTTTCCATGGTGATCGGGAACTCAGGAGCTGTTATTAGTAATGAATAAAAATAGAGTTTTGCTCTTTTCCTAAGCGATATTTTATGTATCCATAAAAGTACAATAAGTATGAAATTTGTAATAAGGAAGTGTGTTATTTGTTACAGTTATGGTATTGTCCGATAAAAGGGAAAGTTTTTCGTTGCTGTTGGAGTTGATGTCACGAGATTCAAGTAAATTATTGAGGCATTTACTTCCATCTCAAGTATTTTATATATCCGAGATAAAAAACTAAGAGTTGAAGAATAGTGTAGTTTGGATTTTGTTGTTAAACTATAAATGTGCAAGCTTGATTTTCGTATCATGATCAAGTTGATATTTTCTACATTTAATTCTTATGAATTGCTAAAGTAACAAGACAAATTTGTTAACATTTATTTTAATTTTGATAATTTTGTTTCATTTTTTCATACTTAGGTTTCAATTGCTACATGCTTTCTTGTTTTCCTTTTCTATTTATGCATTTCCATTATGCTTTTACTTATAATTATTATATCAGTTTTTAGCTAATGCAAGAATAATATACCACTTATTTTATATAGCTTAGAAATAAAGTCAGTTTTATGCAAAGAAAATATTTAACTAGATAAAGATTTTCAAGTACAATATGTTTTCTCTTTAAATTCACCACGGTAAATTAAGCTTGAATAGAAAAACGGAGAAAATAGTTTTTCATTTTTTTTGTTATCTCTCTCTCTCTCTCTCTCTCTCTCTCTCTCTCTATATATATATATAT